TTGATTCATTTTATTCAAATCAGATAGCTGACTGTTTTCAGATTCTGTTAAACCTAGATGTTCATCATCCATTATCTGATATATTTAGCAGACATCTATTCTTTCATCAAACTTGATTGATATCACAGACCTTAGATTCTCATCATAACTCTACTGTTGTAGTGTCATTTATTCGCGAGCTTGTAGTAAATTGACTGATTCGAAACTAATCTTCATATATCGACATCAGCTAGAGAACTACTGTGATGTGTAGAAATTCGAATAGAACTGTTTCAACACAGATTGAGACTTCTGTATACCCCATTCACATGGCTTCATCACAGTGCTGTACAGTTAAGTATAAAAGCAGTTTGCTACTGTTTAGGTTGTGTTGTAGATCTCACAACTTTCGTCAATCTTCTTAGCAGTATAACTGATATTGAAAAGCGTTCAATATTTGTATTAAAAAGAAATGACCTTATTTGATGAGGCTTAAGGTTTGATTCGTGCAGTATTGATCACTGCAAACTTTGAAAGTTTGAAGTCTCACAACATGATAAAATCTTTGAAACTGAGCCGTCGTTGGAAAGAATGAATAGCGAATTGGATTGGAACTGAAAAGTGTCGAAAGCAGGAGGTGGTTTTAAAGCCTGGAACTTAAGATGATGATGATGATGATGATGATTGAATGACTGACGCTTACGTACAATGCTCAGATTTCTCCATATGGATAGTAAGTGCTTCGGTGATGCAGAAAGTACGAAAACACAATCTTTAGTAGCCTTCTTCGCAATAGTTCGGTTAGACAATGTAAAAATAATAAAAGACAAATCAGCGAAAAGTTTCGTTTCGAAAACTGATTTTCAAAAGCTGTACATCAAATAAGCCTGACCTTTGCCTTTTAAAAAAAGATACATTTAGTCTTTAATTTTTTCTTGGTCTTGACACTTCCGTGTCCATTTGTTAATTCAACTTGCTCCTATGGAGCTGGTTAAATTGGGTGTATATTGAGGCAGTTCCATAGTCGAATCTCTGAACATCACCCAACATGGTTGGATAAGGGACAAATAAGAACAATAAAGAGCTCCATACTTGCGCAGCCAATTGATATGGGACATCAGGTAGATACTGGTAAAGCTTTCAAAACTGTTCATCATATTCCAATTAATTTATCACATGGATTACGCACTCGCTTACTTCACATAGCAGAGGCGATCGCAATCCACCGTTACAAATCTAACCTTTGATTCAAAAGACGTTTGTTTGACCTCTTTCATTGTCGTGGGTGTCAACATAATGTAACTTTTAGTATTACTTTGTATACCTCTTCCTCTTCTTGTTTCTGTCACTATTCATTTGTTTTCTTATTGTTATGTAATCACTCATTGTTTATGACTGAACATTCATCATAAATCGTCCCATTTACCTAAGAATAACCTGCTTCATATTTCCTATTTTGATAACTCTATTGATTATTTGCATTTTTATTTCTACAAGATCATATTCACGACTCAATTAAAGACTACAATTATTGTTCACCAACCGTCACCATTTGATTGGTAATTTGATCAAACTGTTTAACTATGTATTAATATAGATCCCAAGATGAAGATCTAATTGAAAAGGAATATCTTTCTTGACTCAGCTTTTTTCTAAATGTCTTAGTGGGAATATTCAATGTATTGGTAATAATCTCCCTAGGACAATGTATTCATTTTCGGTGACCTTGAACTGACCTTCTAGCTGTTATTTCCTTGTGACTTAATTGACCGTTTTTGACGACTTTATATTTGCCTATTAGTTACTGATGGATGTATATTTTATTGTAACTATCATTACGACGTACAGCTTTTGAAAGTGATTCGTTCAAAAGAACACTTTGTTCATTGAATTATCTCTCATTGAGCCTTCCTTTCATTTCACAAATAATTTCGAATGAGGGGGCTTCCGATATTCAGTGACACATATTCACGACCTCTTCCATTATAGGAGTTCTTATCAGCTCACTGCTACACCTTCGTAAACGTGAAAGATTTGCTGCTAGACCATTTTGAATAACAGACGCACCGAACGATCTACATACCTTGCTCCATAAGAGCAGGCAAATTGGTATACATACAGAAGTTGTCAAAAGTGAAAGTTTGCCACAACCCACATTTCCATTTCACCTCCAATCAACACCCAGTACCAATGATATAAGTCTGCTAGACCATGGCTATCTTAGATAGTCGAACTTATACTAGGTTCTTTGTTGGTTATTCTGAATAAATATCCTCGATTTGTTTATTTGCAATGAGCTTAAAAACAGTATCCATGTCTACATTCTCACCAGTTATAAAGTATATGAATGTGATTTACTTTTCTAATTAGTTCACTTGAAACCTTTTAACTACTTTGGACGTGGATTAACGTTTAAAAAAATTTCCTTCTTGTGGTGTCTTAGTGTTATTTGGATGATTGATATAACCTGATTTTATACGCATGAAATAAGCGAAACCTCAAGATTTCACGCTCGATAGTCCCTCAGTTCCTGAGAAAATAGAAATGGGGTAAGTTGGAAGACTTTGTATGGAAAATTCAAAATATGAAGAAAATACAATGATTTACGTAGTTTCAAAACAACCTAAGCTATCTCCTGGCCTTTCTAGGAGGGGAATGTCCTACTAATTTAGCTTCTCCTATCAATCTGATAATTATATATCTGACAGTGTACCTTTTCTAGAAATTCTGGATCAAAATGACTGGTTGTGAAAGAGATTTAGGGCTGTTTATAAGGATTTGGCCAATTATATTTCACAGCATAACCATGATATACCATCCATCTGAAAGAATTAAAGCTTACATTATCCTCAAAGTAAGCTAATAAATTAAAGCAAAATAATCTTTTCGACAAAATACTTTCCATGACGAACACAGATTCATCATTAAAAGAAAGTATGAATCTTGGTGTTCTGACATCTGTAATACTTGCATCTTGGTTGATAATTTAGATAAAATTATCATTGAATTCTCTTGAGAATAGTTCAGTGTGCAAAGAAATACTGAATTCCTGGCAATGCATGGCATGCACTTCAAATGAATATCGGAGGCAGAAAAGTGTTACTCAATATAATAATATAAGACAACTTATGCAGTATAACTGCAACTGACAGTGTTATAATAATCATTTTTTATTAAAATAAGAAAGTGATAAAACATACTCAAAAAATTACTATGGATTAGGCATTCATTAAACAGGTGAAGCAGTGACAATTAATGGCTCTAAACCTAAAACGTTTGTCCAAAAGAAACATGTAAAAACACCGTCTCTACCATAGTCATAATCAGACACTCTGCATTTCTGTAAATTGTCATTTGACCAGCTAAGATAGCCGTAGTTTGGCAGACTGGATAATGACTGAGGGAAGATGAAGATTTTGACCGCGGCCGGACTCGAGCCAGCGACCACCATTTCTGTATATGTCTTATTTTCGTATTCCACCCCTTTGTTGATACATTTCTTTATCTAGTTTGAGGTTTTTGGAGACTTTATTATTCAGATTGGTATTCATGAGAGAGAGAGAGAGTCATAAAAACCTGGAAGCATTGGATAGCTGTTTCGTCTTAGTAAGTAACTCCTCAGCAGTACATACCCAAGACCCTACCCAACAGGAGATCAAAATTAGGACCTTGAGGTCATACGAAAAATAAGTTGGCAATTCAGCCGCTTGTTTGGAGTTCAGAAATCCATAATTCCCTACCTCTATCACTTTGTCATACACTATGAGTATTCCGCAACTTATGTCAGTCTGTGATGAATAAAAACTTAAAAATAAGAACCCTACAAGCTTCAAACTACATTACTGTATAGTTCTCATTACTGACATACCTTGAGATGGATATTTTGAAGTCCTGATTAGGAGTAATGACCTGTAGAGTCAATCAGTCTGAAGTAAAACGGATGACAACTCAAAATCTTGGATGATGGTTGTGCTACATCGTGAACTGACAGAAGCAAGAGACTGTGGATCACTTGATTCCAACCTAGTTGTTGAATTGCCAATGCGTTTGCTATGAAACTAGAAGGTCTTCAGTCTGATGTCTGGCAGGGTCTTGGGTGTCCATACTGTGATGAAACGGTGGAACACACCTCAGAGGTTTTCAGTAGTTCTCCAAATGATTACTTTGTATTTTTATCTATTCGCTTATTCTTGCCAGATACTAAATCCTTATATTCAGCGCATTTTATAAAACTATTGAGACCATATCCTGCGCTATGTAATACGTTTTCATTCCCTCTGTGCATCTATGAATCTAGTTTGACCTTTGACCAGGAAATTATCTAGAACATTTTATCATTTTGCTTAGTTATTTACGAATGTGCAACAGTGAAAATGAGTCGTCGAACAGATAACTGTCTTCTCTGCAAACCTATTTTGTTTTTGACTGAATTCCATACCTAATATCCTCCAATTCATCATTAAATTCTTCAACTATAGCACAGGATAAAAAGCAAGGAAAACAATTTATAACCCGTTGAATCTTGTCTCTGATCTTCACTTATTTGGGTACCTTTTAGTGTAGGCTAGTGTGACCAGGTTTATGAGTTTTGCAGTGTAAAAGCTCGAATCCAGTTGACACTGATATTCGTTAGAATAAAGCATTTTGACCCAGTATAACATTGGGAAATTACTAGTTTGGATAAACAGCAACGGCCAACCGTTGCACAAGTGGTGGTTCTCGTACCACAGTGGCCTAGTGAATGACACTTTGGAGTTCGAAGCAATGGGTACTCGGTCTGAGTTCAGTGGAGACAACATTACTCATTGGGGTACAGGCATATCCACGTGACGAGTGATAAATAGGACGAGACGCTCGTTCTGAAGTTCACTGCTAATCGCCAAGTAGACTAATACAGGGCCTTCTAAATAACTAAATCCCTTCACTGTACACTATCACATAATAAGTTATGAAAAGAAGCCACTGAAAATTTATTCTACTGAAGGCTATCAAATAAAACGTCTATCATTAAAAAAATCTTTTGGGCTAGTACAAATGATAAATATATGATAGAAATCTTTTCACTTTGTACAATTTTATAATCCTCAACCTCCTTTAGATAAAAAATGCTCTTCGTTACAAATCAGCAGTTTTATTGGTGGTGGTCACAATGTAGAGAACCAAAATAATCATTTTTTATTCCTTCTACGTTGCTTGATTCTAACATAATGTTAGCTGCCAAACAGTTCAGCATCACACTACTTATTACATTAAACATTGCTCATCAGCCATATTTACATTACATTGGAAAAAATGAAAAAGTTACTTTCATCCAATATTACGCAATGACTGTCTTCTCATCATGCCATACATGACATCTATCGAAAAACCAAGTGATAAGTAAACATAAAGTGGACAAGGATAGTAAGAATAATGGCCAAAATAAAGTATTGAACATCGTTGACGGTTCATAAAATTTATTTAGTAAAGCTTCATTAATATGATCTTCATGTACATAACACGTGAACCGTGCGGTACGTTTTATGAGTTGACAGAAATGCTGTACCCATTCATGATTTGCAGAGTTTTGACGATGACAGGAACTTGTAGCACACTGAAATAAGTCAAAAGAAAAAAGGTGAAGGGAATGATTGACCAACGGTAAAAATATTCCAAAGACACTATGTTAAATAAGTTACGGAATTAAAATAAAGTTCACTTCACTGGAAACCAATAGGTATTGAACATATATTTACTTTTGAGGTAGTATTAATCACTGACTGACATCAGTCTAGGAACAACTGAAGACCTGAAAGCACTGCACAGCCGTTTTGTCCCAGTATAGGACTCCTCATCAGCACGCACCCGCAAATCCGCTAAGAACCGAACTCAAGACCTTTAGATCCCATGGCGAACCTGTTAACTATTCAGCCACTCGGTTGTAATTCTATGGTTCACAGTTTCCGACCTCTTTCAGTTCGCGATATAGCGCGACTACTATTCAAGGTCTTCAGATGACATCCACTTTCCTTTCTGCTAGTTAGCCGCAAAGGTCACGGTTCCTCATTAAAACTTCATAGTAGTCATGCTTTACCGCGAATTGACAGAAGGTGAAAACTGTAAATCAGTGAGCTCCGACTCAGTGGCCGGATGGTTAGTGCTTTCTCCGTGAAGTCTGAAGGACCTACATTTGATGCTTAATTGGGTCGTGGGGGCCTACTGCTGAGGAGTTCCATACTAAGACGAAACAGCTGTACAGTCCTCTCAGATTTTCAATGGTTCACAGACTGGTGTCAGTTCGTGATAAAAACTATCTTAAAATTAAAATCCCTATTCATCTCAAACGTATATTTAATTGCGCATTGCAAAATAACAACAATAAGTCCTACTTTGGACTACAGGTTTTCCATACCTTATGTAAAACAGTTTATTGTCTAGCCACTGCCTTGAAATCTGAGGCAGAAGACAGTTATTCACTTTACAGTACTACACTTTGCTTAACTTTAAATGACTAACATTTACTAAATTGATTGGTAACTGGATAGTAGCCAGTTTCTTGCCATCTAGTAGTGAGTGCTTACTGACTTCTATTCATCGATTCGTAAATTAATCACTAAGCTATGGAACTTACCATCACTAAGTACTTTTATAGATGTTATCTAGCTAGAGGCAATTGGCAGAAAGTCCTCCACCTAAGCATTGCGTTACTGTCAGTAGAGCGTATCTGTGAACTAGAAAGAGCTGGCTTCCCACCTGAGATTAGAACCCACGTTATCCAGCAGTGCAGTCAGTTATGGTACCATTGAGCTGTTCAGGCAGAGACTAATCGCATATATGACTGGATTAGATACATTGATTAGTCACTAGACACTAACCAAGTTCATGCTACCCACATTTGATTGGTGACCGAACTCTATCGACCATTTCGCAACGTGACCACCAAACTAGGAGATTAACCATTGTGGTGCACTTTGGTAGGTGTTAGTCGCGTGAAGATTATCTGCAGGGAAGGCTTGATCTTATTTTTGTGCTCGTTATCATCTTTATTATGCCGGCTTTTTCCTACTGAACACAAAAGAATGTCATGCTGATAAACATTCATTTACGTGCGTGGAAAGTTCAGTAAATTTTGTTTTCTGGTCAACATAAAAGCAAGGTATCTCTTTTACTTTCTCATTAGTTTTATTGATGTTATATGAAATAATAACATCAATCATTGCAAAGCCTTTTGATATGCTTACTTCCTACTAGAACTTATGGACACCCAACTAAAAAAAAACTTTTGGCTGGACAAATTATAAATTATGTTTCCACACGCCAAATAGTTACACGAAGACTGAATAATAAATTACCCTGACTAGCCACCATATTAGCACATTTAGTTCAAAAAAACTAAACAGTAGATATGAGTAACTCGTTTTCTATTAATTACTGGGTTTTCATCAACTTGTTAAAAGACACTCAGGTCCGAATCCCTCAAAATGTAAAAGCAATGGCAATCAGGATCATCAAAAAAGGAAGTGCTTGCCTTAACAACTGCATTGGTTCTATCCGAGCTCACCGAGCATCCTATCCCAGGCAACCTGACCTTCAGCTTCCAAATTGCGGGCAGAAACCCATTATCCCTATAATCTCAAATAATCCAATCACATTTCCTGAGCCAGTTTTCTTTTGTCCTTGCATGTGTAACAAATTATTTATCTTTGCTCATCGCATCCTACTTCCGTATACACCGTTCTATTGTTTTCTTAAGATATCACTCAACAGTGTTACATAAGCTGTATAATTGCTTAGATAATCAGTTATTTTGAAGTGAATCCCATTAATCTGTTCTGGTGTTGAAATACCCCACCCACCCGGATGCGCAATATTACTGCACAATATTGCACAATATGGACATCCAACTGTAGGACCTGAAGTAGCAGTTGTAAAAAATATTCCTTGTTCATTTAAATATCTCTTTAATAAGCTTCCAAAACCATTAATATAGTTTGTTCTTTAATTTCTCTTGCTTAAAAATACAGTATTTATTACCTAAGACGCTATTAATAAATTCTGTCCAAGATCTTATACCAATTGAAAAGTGAGAATGAGGTCACTGGTTTGAATCCCGCTGTCACCTAGAATTTCATTTCCCTTCCAATCGTCCTCCAGTTCCGAGAAAAGTGTGCTAAATCACGATTATGTCAGACCGTCAGACTGATAACCATTATGATGCTTCTTCTCTCTAATTCAAGCAGATTTGGATTCGGATGAAAAGTCCTAACTAGGCAGCCGTTGTGAGTGCGATCAAGTGATATTAGCATATCGAGGATTTATATGACAGTCTACTGAACCCCTTTGTGATTGGTGTGAAATTAAAATCTGGGCAATAGCTAGGTCTTGTAGCCCAGTTTTTAGTGCACTACGTCCGTAATCTAGAGATTGCAGGTTCGGATTCTTTTACTCCCTAGGTTTTCATTTCACCTTCAATCATAATCCAGTTTAAATCCGAGTGTGTCACACCATAGTTGTCTCAGATGGGAGAAATAATTGAGTATGAGAATTGATCATTTCGAATAGCTAATATTCATTTCCATTCGCCATTACTGTTTACTGATGGTCTTACACATACTAAACGGTTGTCTGATTGACAGAAAGGATGGTTTGCTGAAAGCTGACTGTAAGATAAATGTTTTGAATAATTTCTAAGCCGTTTCTGAATTTCTTATTTCAAGTAGTTAAAATGATTTATGGAAAATAACATCATAAAATCCCTTAGCTATTATTTATCGCCACGGACACAATTTTGCCGCCTACCTGTTATTAGGCGGGACAATATAAGATCTTTCAAGCCCTAAATAGTCTAGAAATTACTAAACAAATTCGGAAAAAATCACAGGACTCATCAGTCCTCAGAAAGTCACATGACGGCAGTTGAGAGTTATTAAGTGAATACTTTCACAGAATAATCAGACTTTAAGAATGTCGCTCAAACTAAAGTATAAGTCAGCGGCAGTTAGCTGGTAGGAATCCCTAAACCTTGGTCTCTTCCTTGTTGGTACTTATCAGCAAGAAATGTTTGCAACCGTGAAGTAACTAGTGTCCCCTTGTTGATTTGAAACTGTATCACTCGATTTTAAAGTCAGAGATCTAAACACTAAGCTTATCATTCCACGACTGACCCCTTTTAGGAATGGATAATGTGCACCAGTCTGTTACCAGGGAGTAACCCATGTAGCTGCTTGTTTCTCAGTGCTTAGCACAAGCAGAATTCTACTGGTGACCTTTTTACAGTGTGGCCATAAACACACACATATACAGTGTACCGCGTTGTAGCACCATTTCTGTGACTGGATACACTGCAAAACTTGGTCAACAGACTTCAATCACTAGTACCTCCTGAGGATCAGACAAGTTCATGGGTTACTTATCCGTGAAAAACTCGTTTACCTGAAAATGTCAACTTAATGGGTAAACACACGACTTGCATAGTGTTTTGCATATAAAATACTCGTATGGTTTATAGTCTGTGATTTAAAGCCTATCCGATTCTTGAGTAACTGAGATGCATGTGATGTCATCGATATAACTTATTACTAATTTCTGTTTGACCTCACAATGATCGAATCAATGACATGTCTTGTAGGCGAATAGTTTGAAAATAAGCAACAAAATAAAATATTGAATCAATTAGGATTTTCATTAGTTAGCTTAACTGAAACGTTCCTATTGAATAACCTCGATATTACAATCAAATAATAAATTTCCCTGATATATTTTGACTTATAAATGGAAGTGGATGTCAGAGTTTTTATTAAGTTCCAATTTAACTGTAGTATCAGAAACATTATTCCTTTGAGGTTAATGGAGATTTTATTTTTCATGTAGTATTCATTATAGAGGGACATCAGTTGAGGGACCATTTAAAATCTGGGCTCACAGGTTAGTTGCTATATCCTAGAATAAGACAACTCAACGGTACTACCCTAAAAATAAAACCACAGAAGCCTAAAACTACATTGCTGTATTATGCTAATGAGTAACATGATTCAAGATGGACATCCCGATGTTCCGATAAGAAGCCATTGTCTGTGGAGTCAACCAGTGAGAAGTAAAGTGGATACCAATCGAAGACCTTGCATGATAGTCAAACTACATTGCTAACTGAAGGGATTAGGAAATTGTAGACCAATGAAATCCAACCCGATGGCTGGATGACTAACGAGTCCGCCAGGAAACCTGGAGGTATTTGTCTCGATGCCTGGTGAAGCGGTATTTCAACTGGAACAAGAATGCAACACACATCGATTCAAATAAAAGCGCGTTCTCTACTGGCCTACTGTGTTTGTGGATTCCCCTCTAGAGAAACAGGTATGATTTGTTCATTGATGGTGGATTTTACGCAGGGCGCGTATCTGAAACCTAGTAGGAACTGATTTCCCATCTGAAATTCAAATCCATGTAACCCACTGTTGTGGTCACCAACCTAACCATTAAGCTATTCAGGCTGCGATCTCGCATCACAAAGGGATATTGCAAGTATCAATCAAGAGTCTGCGGTCCTAAATGAGACTTTGTGAAAACAGTACACTTGATAAAATACCTATTAATGTCGAAATTGTGAGACTAGTT